CTCTCTCGGGTTACCGTTCACAATTTGCTGTAGTATCAAAAAAATCTACAGGTACCTCATGAATAGAAATCTTTTATAAAGGAAATTTAAGTTCAGGTCTTCCAAACTTATTCCTATTACAACTAGGTCCTCCAAATCCTACTCTAGATAGAATTTTAATTTATGTAGACTTCATATGTTGGTCTTACCTTGGGCTGGACCCACAACAGACGTCAAAACCATGAAGAACAGGTATCGGAGACTCTGCCTGCAGACTCACCCCAACAGGAATCCGACTGCTGCCTTCGCACCGGCGTTTAGAATTGTTCGTCAAGCTTGGGATGCTCTCAAGGATAATCCCCACGAGCCCAGAAGATTCGATGAAGCCTTGAGGATGTTTAATTGCGAATTGTACGATCTAATTAAGCATGACGATTGAGACTCGAGCTGGGCTTGATGGTAAACCTTGCTGATCTAGGATCTTTATCTTGATGGTAAACCTTGTTAAACTCTATATAGTGGCATACTTGAAGAATAATACGAATATTTCTTTTTCTTGTATGTATGTGTGTGTATACACACAGATTGTTATGATTTCTTTAGTTCATATATATATGTTGGTTTACACATCATTCGAATATGTTAAGCTCTCATGGTATAACAAAGAGAGATGATTGATTGTATTTCTTTATAGACTATGACTCACAGATCATCCGTAAACTAACATAATAAATGCTTACGGAGGAAGAGACGATGAGCATCTATTTTTGCCATGTTAAACTAGAGGGCCATTTGTAAAACTTTTGAGTCTTCAAAGAAGGTAGTTCTAAAGTTTCCAATGAGTTGTTTTGTAAAATTTTTATCAGGTTATTTTGTATTTAGGGGATTTTTTTGTAAATTCTTCAAAGATGTTTGTAATTATGGAAACTTTCAAGAAGCTGCGTTTAATATTTTCAAGGTGTTGGTTGTAATATTTTGAAATATTTAGCATCTTATTTGTTATATTAGCAACTTTCATAGGGCCAGCTCTAAAATTTTCAAACGACTCTTTGTCAAACTTTCAAGGGGATGTTTATACTTTTTAAAACTCTCAAGGGGCTAGTTATAAAACTAAAATTTCAGGAGGCTATTTATAACTTTTCAACTTTTTCAAAGGAATGTTTGTAATTTTTGGATTTTCTAGTGATTGTTTGTAATTTATAAATTTTAAAGGGGGAAGTTTATAATTTTTTGAAATTTGTGCTTCTATTTATAATTCTCAGATTTCTCAGGGATTTATTTACGATTTTTGAATCTCAAGGGGTTGTTTGCAACTTCCATGGGAGTATCTGTAATTTCAATTTTTTCATGGGGCGTTTCTACTTTTTGAAAATTTCAAGCAGTCAATTGTAAAACTTTTAGAGATTATTTGTGATTTTATGGATTTTAAAATGGTAGTTTATAATTTTTTCAGTTTAAATGGTGATATTTATAATTTTCTTATTTTTGGGGGTTTATTTGTAGTTTTTGAATGGGGTTATTAGGGCTTATTTACAAATTTATATTTATCAGGAGATTGTTTCTAATTTTTTGATCTCAAGTGGTAGTTTATAATTTTTAGATTTTTTAGATGGGAATTTATAGTTTTTCAAGTTTGAAAGAGGAAGTTGATAATTTTCTAATATTGAAAGACCTATTTATATAAAGAAGGGCTTTGATTAATAGAAAGGAGACTCTTGATCATTAGAAATTTGGTACTTATGAATTATTTTAATTTGATTAGTATTCTTAAGTGAAGATATTATTAGGTGTTAACATGTCAATCTCAGATAGCACAGATGGACGCCTTACAATTTTTTGACACATGACATGTTTTGAGATTTTAGGAGTAGTTGACTAATTTGTATATAAGTAGGGATATTATTGTAAGATTTTTTCAAAAACTATATATAGTTATAATATGATCAGGATTACCAAAATAGTTATAATGAGTTTGAGTTTGGGACTCTAATCGGGTTTAAGTCTAAATAGTTTGTATATTTGATATTAGGACGGATTGATACAACTGGCAATCAAAGAAAAAAAATAAAAAAAATATTCCCAATTACTTATAACTCTAACGAATCAGAGGGACTAATATAAACATATTAATGTAGTTTGGAGGATTAGGATCAAAATACGAAGATTTGATCGGACTGATATAAATAGTAATGACTTAATAAGGGACTCGTACCTGAGAAAACTCTTAAAAAAAAAAAATCCCCAAAAGAATCTCAACAATAAGCGTAAATTTTAGCGAATAACCAAATTTTTAATAACAAATTTTTAAGAGGACGCAAGTGCAAGATACGAAGCCTTTACCACGCACCGTCGTCGTCCCCCAAAAACTCCGAAACTTCTCCGAATCGTTTCGCTCTGTTTTACCCATTTAATGGCGACTCCTCTCTCCATCCCCTCCCTCTCCACCTTCAAAACCCCAGTTTTCCCGCCAATTCGA